AAAGTTTTCGCAGCCCAGACAGAGGACGTGGATACGAGGGCGGAAGATACCCAAGATGTTCCTCGATAAGCAGGAGCTGGCTCTTGCCCATCACCTTCATGTACACCAAAATATGAAGTCATCTCCAGTAGCAGTCTGACTGGAGAAGACCTTTGAAATTCACGTCACCTCCAAACAGCTGCGAAACTTCTAGTATGGAGTCACCCATGGATAGCTACCTGGAGACCAGTACTCTCGATCTGGAAGACCTCCAACATCGAGCAGCTCCGACAACGTCGCTACGGTCTAGGACATCATCTTCACCGCAGTCGCCAAGGCGCGGGTTGATGGTATGGACCGGACGTACCTGGAATGGAAAGACCTATATTTTCTTCGTGGACTCCGGACTGAAGGTGAGCGCTGGCGGTTGATCGAGCAAGCTCGAGAAGAATATCCTCCCACATGTCGTCGCCCGTACCTTCTTGGAAACTTTGTACTGCTACAGGATTGGGTGACACCACATGGAATCGAAGGGCGTTGGAAAAACTCTCGCCTACTTGGAATGGAAGGGCGTTGAGTACCTAAAGAAGATGGAATATCCAAGTAGGTCACCTGACCTGAACCCCTCAATTACCCGGTTCGGGCGGAGTTCAATAGGGTGGTCTACGGTGGCGGAGAAATCGACTATCTCGCTGATCTCAGGCACCACATCGCGGTCGCGTGCCAGAATCTCTCGATGGCGCTCGTCCAGAAGGCTGTGGCGGAGTGTCATATTAATATGCTCTTTAATATGGTGGTAGAAATGTCCGATCAGAATTCAATAAAGTGTAACTTATAGCGCCTCGAAAGTCAAGAAAATAAAGAGATTTTTTTGTTGCCCCCCTTATAGGGTCACTATTCATTCACTAGCACTGAGAATGAAGCGCTCGATTCGTCCACACCCATTCAGCTCTTGCACTTATGGCGCTGGAGCAACCGCCTGCTCTCAGCCATCGTACCAACTGCCTTTTAAAGCCGTAAGTACCCAATACCATAAACAAGGCAAAGAAAGAATTTATTTACCTGCTGCTGTACAGTTTTGTTGCCATTTCCGCCAGCTTAAATTGATTCCATTGGAATTCCGATAATGTCTTTCCGAATTGCTTCCGCACCTGAAGAACTATTGCAGTACAATAACAAAACGAATCACTCAATGTGGAAGAAAACCTTCAGATGCTCGATAGCCAAATCAAGACTTTGTTGGGCAGCTCCAAGTGAGCAACTTGCAATGTTCACCCTACCACCGTTGATGCCAGCCATGGCAATATTGAAGCCATAGTTATCTGGTCCAATCTGGTTTGATACTGGTACCTTAAATGGGGTCAGTACAAACGTGGTTCCTCAATGATTCCTCGCATACCACCCACCTTCACATCTTCAAAAGTAATAATGCGAGTGGGCTGAGTATTCCAACCAAGTTTACTCTCCTTCTTGGCCTGTGAAAATCCTTCCATGCCATCTTCGATCAGCAGGCAGAAGATACCTTTCGCTCCTGGTTGGCCATCGTGCCGCACCATCACCAAGTAACTAAAAGGAACTTGTGAACCGAGGATTCAACAATGTTCCAGTTTCGAGTGTTCTATCACTTCCAACAAAGTATTAATTTACCGAATACCTACATCTTCGAGGCACCGGCTCCACTGATGAAAGCTTTGGAACCATTGACAACGTAATAGTCACCTTCACGCCTTGCAGTGGTGCGAAGACTGGCGGCATCGGATCCTGGAATATTCAGATCTTATGAAATTCTTTGCTTGGAGATGTTTTATTATGATAACCATTGTTCAGTGCCACAGTTGGCGCCTCGAACATTATCACAATGTTGCTGCTATGGGCAAATCCTGATTCGAAGGGGATCTTGAGCGCCTATCTATTTTTTCGGACGAATGCGGCAATATGCCACCAGGCCTCCTACTCGATCAGCTTGACAGCTTTTATGCTGTAGCTTGCAGCACTTACACGTTTGGCTGGTGAGCCGGAAACCACATTGAGGAAAGCTACAAATAGCCACTATGTCTTCAAGCAAAAACTGGAAGATTTCAAGCTGAGGGAGTAAGAGGTGGCTCTGGCTCCTGACTTAAAGGCAGTTGGCACGATGGTTTCCTACTTAGCCTAAAATGCTAGTAGGGCGCTGTATAGTGGGAAATGGCGAAAGAACGGAGTGAAACGGTCAAAATCCTGCGAAAAAAAGCCTCCGTTCTCAGTGACTTGTAAATCGATTTCGGACGAGTTTCCCGTAGGCATCTTACCAATCACCGCTACCGAAGATACGGCTGCATATGTGTACCCATGTATGCATGCAGCATCACAGCCGCTTCATATCAATCCCTTCGCTTCATAGAGCGTAGTTCGCTGCGGACGGTTGGGCGTGTCAGTGCGTCTGCGTTTGGCGTGGTGCCAAATTCGTTCTCCACCAGTTTTTGAGGCGAGCAAGCGATATGACTGTACTCCTTCGTATTACTCGTTTTCTACCACTTTTTGTCGCATGCGCGTTTCAAAAAAAAGGCAGAGAACGGCTTTGACGCTGTGCACACTCATACTGGCTGACACGCCCAACCGCCCGCAGCGAAGTAGAGTGTAATTTGCTTAGCACTTGAATGAATACGAGCGTCAGGAACGGTCGTCCATTTGTGGACGGGCGTGGCGGGCGTTTGGGACGTAAAGTTGTGGCTTGATAGGGCCCTTATAAGGGCACCTTCCTCGGGGAAACCGCTATGCAGCGCCTGCCCAGGGTCGCGGAATTCTATCCTGCCAGGAGTATTGATCCTAGTCGTCTTGGGGATTTATCGTGCCAACTGCCTTTAACAGATAGAGTATTTGTCCGAAGACAGATACAGCATCGTTGTGTGAAACACATAGAGGGATCTTACTTTTTCGCTGAGGACGGGGTCGTATTTGGTAGTTGGGAGAGGGGGGGGGCGTATGTGCCTTCCTTCAAGAGAAATTTGCAAAATTTGCTGTGCTGAGAAAAAAATTTTCCCCGGTAGTGAAGTTTTCGTTGTTTTTCCTGTTTCATTGAACTATATACCCCCTGTTCACGAAAAATCTATGGGTGAAAAACTGGAAAATGTGGGGGAATTGGTGGGTAGGTGTTGGGGGGAAGGGTTGTACCAACACCGCCATTTCACACATCACGATACTGTACCCCTGTCCGAAGAACGTGAGGTGTGGGTTCCAGTTCCACCTGTCCACAACTCTGCATTCTTGAGTTTATAAGCTCCGCAACATAATGTGGCTTTGAAGAACTCTTTGTCCAAAATTCGGATTACCGTGATCTGGCAAATTGCTGAGTACCGCCAAATGTCCCACTGTATTCGAAAAGCGCTCAACCGGTTACTATTCTGCAAGTAACGGTCGCAGTCTATAGTCGAGTTCCTGCATACTTTTGCACACCTTTGCCTATGTCTAGAACTTCGCCGAACGCCCCGCCCACAACCGCTGTGCCCCGCACTCAACCAGTAACCTTTTGCTGACCGTAATCCACTTTTCCCGCTGTTTAGGAATCGAACTCATGCTCACCGAACTACAAATTTTTGAAATGAGGATCTCATGCTCATCGCCCCGCACACTATGGGCAAGTCTTAACACAGCGGATATGCTCGACTCTCCCTAGATATTTACTTCCTCCAACTTCTTACAACCTCTAAACTCTCTCGCTGTCCGAGAGAGTTTAGAGGTTGTAAGAAGTTGGAGAAAGAGGTGTTACTCAGTTCTGTGGGAAGTACGCGCATTTCAAGGATGCTCCGCCCATTTCAGATGTGTCTCTTCCATTTGGTCTGCTAACACTTTGCTGGCCTTGATCCATGTTTTTCCCCATCTCGGGGCTACTGTGGAGCCGATTATGGGTTTTCAGTAACACGACAACTTTCGGCGCATACTCCGCCCACTGTGCGCAGAGTTTAGCGTAGGACACATGTGCTCTTTACATCTTGTCCCATGCACTGCCCATCCCAACCTTGACCCAACCACTCCAAGATGCTCTTCAGGTAGAACCGAATACCCGGACAAACAGACAAACAAGCAGACGTGGCAAATTATATTTAGCGGGTGATGAAATCCACTTTGAAGAAAAACAAGAAATTGACGCTTACCCGAGTCCGGTTCCGTCAAGCAATATGACGACAAATTCTCAAACGTCGCCATGCTGGGGATATGCTTTTCCCGTAACTCTTTAGATCCATAAGTGTCAATCATCCATGCGCACCTAGAAGTATAGACGACTTTAAAGGAGTAAGTTCATGGTGACAGACAACAAAAAATACTTGGTAAGAAACCAACTACAGTGATGTAATAGTACACTACTCTAATCGGCTAGAGAAATGGAGCACGTGATATGCGCAGTTTCAAGATGAAACGGAAACTGCACCGGTAAGAGTGGGAAAGAGGTGAAAGCGTTGTGCGCATGTCGTAAATGTGACTCACACAAGAAATTCTTATAGATACTAGACTTAAAGACATTTCGCGATATCTGAGCAGAGACATGGGCGGAGACAGAGAGGCATTGTGCCTTCCTCGTTGATGCGTCCCTTCCTTGCAAAGGCTGTCAAAAGGGGAAAACGCCAATGACGTGGTACTCTGTCGCCGCCCAACTGACCACCATGGAATGCGTCTCAATCACGTCCGATACAATTGAAGAGCACTACAATAACATATAATCATGTCGAAAAAAACTCACATATTGTGAATACTCATATAAGCCGCGGTGGAAACACAACCGGCCGCGAGTTGCTCATAAATTACAGATGCATGCAGGCGACTCATTCCAGAACCTCCGAATTCATCCGAACAATAGATAGCACCGAAGCCTAGCTCCCCGGCATGTCGCATCATTTCCACTGGGAAGTGTTCCTGGAAAAATCTGTGCTGGAGAAAAAACTCCACAATAAAGAGCTAGTTGCCTGAGAGAACTCCAAGACTAGACATTTGATGAGAAAAAGGACATGGACTGATTCATTTTCTGTGTTAAGCTTGAAGCACAAACCTCTTTGTCCCATTTGGCCATGTGAGGATACATTTCTCGTTGGGCGAAATCTCGTGCCACCTTCTGCACCTCCACCAAGTCAGCATCGAGTCCGACCGCAGCTGTAATGTAAAATTATGACAGATTCTGGTTTTCTCGTCCTTGCTCTCTGCTTGTTCCAAAACAGACAGCGCTGGGGATCTTTCAAAGTCCTAGGTATAAGCTCGGAGTCCTGTAAAAGAGCCTCCATGCAAATGCGCCACTTTTGGGTAAGCGAGTGCAAGGTTGCGGTGAGTACACCATTTTTCACCATTTCCCTTCCACAAAAACTGTTATAAGTTCGGGAAAATCTGAATCAGCGGTGGCGGAATTCGACCCTCTTGTAAACCTGAGCCCGACTAAGAATGATCCTTGGAGGGTTAATTTTGACAGAGCATCAAATCAGACCTCCCCCAATTCGTGTTCAGCCTTAGCAGGGAGGACAGAGGGAGCTTTCTCTTTACTGCATCCACGCGTTTCAGTTGGCTTCATCTTCGCTGCTACGGCAACCACCTGTTTAACACTGTACTTCTGAAGCCCCTTCCAAATTCCAAACTTCCAATTCCAACACAGTTCCTACTTATGACAGATGAAACCCCGAAATAATAACTCGCTAGGGACTGGAATTTCGAAAACAATTTCGGCTTTTTGGGATGAATTTTTCGAAGCTCCATCTGATAGGTGTCTCAAAATAACGCACGTCGGAAATCAAAAACCCTTTTGGCAAAAGGAAAGGCGTACTGAACGCTTGGTCGGTGAATCGCTGCGATCCGTAAAGATGGCTTGACACGAACCCCTTCCCCAGTTTCCTCCTCTGATGAGACCGAGCTGTCGAGCGGGTGGGTATATTGCACATGTGATTTGGGAAAAACCGCGAGAAAAATTTGAATTCCCTTTCTCCATTCTACCTACCTTTTTCCTGGATTTTCCAGTTTTCCAGGATTTTCTAGTGTCCAGTTTTACCGGGATTTCCCGAGGATTTTCCTACTTTTTCCGCAAAGATTTGGCTGTGCAACCTCCTCCCCCCCTTCCCTTTATAGCGAGGGAAGAGGAAGGGGCGGGGTATAGCACATGTGAAACAAGAAAAACCACTAAAAGTCAACACCTCTAACAGAAGGCAAATACTGCCCCATCCCAGCAACTAGCAAAACGATCTCCCCCCCTACCCGGCATATGGTGCTGAAACAAGAAAAATCAACTGCAAATCTTTTTTCTTTAGACTAAATACGACCCCCCGCCTCCCCAAGAAACCAAATACGACTCCCTCCCTGTTGTGGAATTTCCAACGATGATGTGCCCTGCAACCAGCCATTTTGAGTCTCTAGCAAGGCCGACACTATTTCCTGAACGTCACCGCTTTTAATGAGCTCCAGTAATGCACCTCGAGAAACAATTTCAAAAAACTGCATATTTATTTATTACGTTTAGTTAGAAACTTCTTTGGTTTTACGTGAACGAAGGATACGATGAAAAGCGGACAAAATCAAAAGAAATACCAACGGTCAACACAGTAGGAGTGACCGCGCCGTTTGAATATCCGCAGCAAGCTGGAAGAAAGGTTGCGCATATTCCGTGGAATCATCTGAAAACTCGAGATAAGAGACTTGAGAATTAACCTCTTGAAAGTTGAGTAAATGATCTGATCTCCAAAGTGAAGAGAAAACTTTACAAGCTTTTTAGTTCTAAGCCGGTTGAGAGAGGAACGTATTTGAGATAGGATGAGCCCGACGCAATCCAATAAAACAGGTTACAATGGACTGATGACCCGCAAGGTAAAAAATACCCCAAGTGGTGTACTTTGATGTCACGTGAAATGATTGCCCTCCTGCTTCATATGTGAGTGCAACCCGAAAGATTCGCCGCCGACGACATACGAATATGTGAGGCAGAAGGGAGAGCGCAAGACAAACAGGCGATCCGAGCAAAGAACAGTTGTAAGTCTGCGAGATAGTTCGTGATTTCATCTCTATGATTTTCAAAGTACACTCGAAAAAAATTTCTCATAAATCTTCATTTAATACAAGTACCATGTAGGACATCATCGAGAAGAGAATTAGCACATCAGTATTCCAAATAATAACTCTTGACAGATCACGTAACAAATGGAGCTCTGACGCTGTAACCGAAGATTTGAGATCACGAAGACACGAGTTCTCGTCATGACGCACATGCAGTGGCTATTTCTGCTTCGGCTAACCTCGTAAGCAAAAGAAGTTTGAGGGATCGAATCTGAAAAACTCATGTAACTTCACAGAGAGCAAACACTGAAAAACTGAGTAACACTGAAAAATTCGAAACTAATTATCCGAACCGTGTCTTCGGATGTCTCATCTTCTTTATCCGCATTGTCAATCGTATACTGACGGAAGAACGATATCAATTCGTAGATATTTTCAGCGGGAATTTGCACCTGAATAATTTCTTCGAGCTATGTCAGTTGCTGCAGACATGGCGAGACGAACTCAAAAAGCTGACCTGTGGAGTGTCGGCGAGTATTAACATGAGATATCCAAAGAGAACCTTGTGGAATTTTTGCGGCACATTCGGTGAAGTAATCATCGAAACAAGTAGCTGAGAAAACAAATCTTTAAATCTTCAAAAAAAATCCGAAAAAGCTAAAATGAGCTGTTAAACGCCCTTTAACTATTGAAATGGATTAATAACAGTGGCAGCAGTATTATTGTTCAGAAGCAAACGAAACCAGCACCACTACTGTTCAGGATCATGATCGATAATGGAACCAGTGCCATTATTGTTCGATCTCACAGCTACGAAATTACTTTGAAGGAACCCTGACTTTAGGTCGATAATGAGTAAGAATTCACACATCGTCGATCTGAAGTCACGTGTTCTTTCAAGACTTTCATGGTCAGCATGACACACAATAAAACTAACCGAAAAGGGAAGAGCACTTTTGAAAGGGACTGAATGAGTGAGAACAACACAACTAGTGTTTCTACGTTTTAGAGACCTGCACTATGAGATGGAACATTTGGTCAAGCGAACTGGAGCGGCACTGAGCCCTTCCTCGTTGAATCAAGTGAATCTTGGATGGTGGGTCCCGATGGATTACCAGGAAAGTGTGTAAAAAATGAACGAATAACTTTTGCTTCTGACTGGAAAATTGCTCTTTCAACTTCCAGGGAACAAATTGTAAAAGAAAGCCTCACTTTAGAGATGAATCTCAGATCTTATCATTGCAAAGCATCCTACGAGCTAAAATTGTCGTTCAAAACTCACTGGTGCATCAGAGCGCACATCACCGGCATTGAGTGACCTGTGAAACCGATAGTAGTTGAACAGGAATGCAAGAGATGGTGATCCAAGTTCCGCCACATAAGTAGCCATATGATCTAACATGCTCAACGAGGCGATTTCGTCCTTTTCAGCATGCCAGACTATCCTGAACACCCGAACATTGTTCTTTGAAAACACTTTGTACACTAA